TCTAGCACAGTGCTTGGACGGGGATCACTCTTGTCTGACTGCCTGCTCTGGGGCTCAGTCTCTCTTAGAAATGGTAATTTCTTCTTTCTTCCTCACCTGCATGGTCATGAAAACCTACTACTGCCTGCCTCACTTGGAGTGAAGAGCCAGTAAGCTTGGGTTTTGTTCTGCCAAGTACAGAAGATTCAGTTTTCCAAGAAAGAGATGGGTTTCCTGAACATGGGAGAATAACAGTGCACCTTTCCACCTGGGCCTTCCTACCTCGTTAGCTGGTGTTGGCACAAGGCCCTGGGGCTGGGTGCACAGGAGAGGGCTGGGGAGTGGGGGTATCACACAGCCTTCATGGAGGACAAGGAATCTGCTCTGTGCAGTGAGGGTGGGGATGTCTGTGGATTTGGGTTCTGAAGTAGTAATTCAAGAAGCATTGGGTATAAAGTATATCATAAATTCAGTCTTGTCAATTTGTAGTATCCCTGGAGAAAAGAGTTGATGTAAATCTGCCTGGATCACAAATTCCCAACTTGTCCAGGATTACCACAACGGACACTAGCCTGTTATATTCAGTTCCATTAAATTGAGTTCACATTTACAAAGTTGACTGTTGACAAAATATTGTGCAAAATAAGTAGAAAAAATAGAAAAGTGAAATTTCTAAATGTTTTTTTTTTTTTTTCCTTCCACACTCAAAGACACAGTAAGCGATAGAAAGGGCCAAAGATAGGCGGGAGGGGGCTGAAGAAAAACCATAAGGTCTGAGTTAGTCACACCCCATACACTAGGAATCTGAAGACCCAAGAGTTTACTCCAAAAAGGCTCTAGATTTTATAAAACGTGGCTGGGTTCTACAATATAAAAATAAGTACAGCTTCACCTTGTACTTTGGCATGCAATAGATACAGTGGCCCTTGTTCTGTGTGGGTGTCATTTTATCTTTAAAAGGAAAAAAAAAGTGGTTTGCTATGAGAATCTCTGATCTCTGGCTTTTAGTACTAATTCAAATGGGTGTTTGAACAGGACTTTGGAATGCTTGCTGGACAAAACACTGGTCAGGGAATGACCTCATCTGGGCGATACAGAGAGTTTTGAAATGTGGACTTCCCCTAGAGTATGAATGATTATTTTAAGGTTGCTGATTGGGGCCCGCGGTCCGGGCCTGGTCTCTGTTACTCACCATGTTGTCATGTATGGGGGCAAACAGAGGAGCCCATCACGTAGGAAGAACCATGTGGGACTGAGAAATGTGAGAGGCTAAGAAGGCAAGGGGTTGGGATGACTTCACCTTCATGAGGAAGAGTGAGGAGGAGGTGTGGGTCCCCAGCTGTGCCATCCAGGAGAGGGTAGTGGCAGTGCCAGGCCTGGAAGCTGGCACTGCTCTTCTCAGTGTGTCCCCCATGTGCCCACGTATCCCACAGGTGCACATCTAATCCGAGGTTAGCCCAGGGCTCCAACATCTGTCTGGTTCCTCACCAAGGTGTGCGAAACCTCTGATTTAAATTAAAAACTTTTAATTATTGTTTACCTCTATCTCCTCACTAAATTGTGAGCAACGTTGAAGAAGGCTCTCTTTCATTCATATTGCATATGAATGGGCATTCAGTGAATATCTTATGAAAGAATGCATCTTTATTCTAGATATGAGGCCGTGAGAGACTTGAAGAGGTACAAAGATGAGCTCAAGGTCACTGTCAAGGACAGATCCAGACTGAACATGGCATTCATATATCCCATATTGTGTCTCTAGTCCTGATTATGTTGCCTCATTCTATGAAAAGGATAAAAAGTGACGGGATTCTTGAAAACCATTATTTGTTATTTTCATTAGCATCTAAAACAGTGACTCTCAATTGCAAACAATCCCCACTCAGAGGACATCTGGCAAAGCCTAGAGACATTTTCCGTTTTCACACCTGGGCGAGGGGGTACATCCAGCAGATAGAAGCCAGAGATGTTGCTAACCATCCTATGGGGCCCAGGACAGTCCCTCACCACAAGGAATGATCTGGTCCAAATATCAAAAATGGCAGTGTAGATAAACCCCAATTGAAGGTCAGCGTTAACACCTTATAATGAAAAGGGAATGGCAGAATGGGATTGTAGGATATGGGAGTCTGTGCCCCTTTTGAAAGCAAATCTTGAGAGAGCAAGAAGAGCTCCAAGAGCAAATTGACTGTGGCTGTGACCTAAAACGGGGTCTTTACCTGCAATGTGTCTGTGTGGTTTCCTTTGTCCCAGATGGGGATTTTAGGTCACCAATGCTTATAAGCTCTGACTTGCACTTGGGTCTCTAGACTAAGTTCTAGATTCTTCCCAAGATTTTGTCTAGTAAGTCCCTATTTCCATTAGCCTTCAAAAGCTTTTTAATTCACTGGGTGGTGGTGGTGGGGAAACTTACCTTTAAGATAAAAGCAGTTGATATTGGAATTCTAAACTGCAGTGGCATTAATTGAAAAAAGTCTTTAGAATATTTACTGTCACTTTGAAAGGAAGGTCTACTTAATCTCAAAGAGTTTCCATGCAAGTAGAACTTCTATTCTGCTTTTATTTGAATGGACAAAAATATTCTGAAATTTTTATATTATTTCAGAGACTTTAGAGGTTTCACTAACTAGCTAAACCAAACTTAATAAGATATTATCTGGTTTCCCAATGAAGTATTGCTGTCACTAGAGTCTTTCTGTTTCTCTGAAAAGTGTTGGAAGGTTATCATTATAGTCTTTTTTATTGGAGCTTTAGGATAGAGATGGGGTTTCATGAAGTAAACAATACAAGGATGTAAGGACCTTATATCACTTCATGTATCAGTTTTCCATATAAACCTGTCTTGGCATAAATTTGCCATTCTGTGTTTGAGCTTCTTAAAAAGCATTGCATCATAAACATGGGCTCTTTGTTTGGCTGGAATGTACTTAATTTCAAATGGGAAACTCAAGAAAGCAGCTAATGACTCTTCATGTCAAGATTGGTCACACAATCTTGGCAATAGATGAATTAAAACTATCTGAAGAACTGCCTTCCAGATAGAATGTCACACATAAAGCCCTCTTCTGAGTCCAGATCCCCATTATAATTTTCTGCCCTCTGCAACATAACACTGGCTTCTCTCTTCTTTTCAGAGAGTCTCCAATGAATTTATATGGGGCTAAGCTTCAAATCTACCTTACTTCACTAATGATACTCTCACTGTCTCCTTCAGTAAGTTCTCTTCTACTGCAGTTCCATTTCTGCAAATTTTGAAAGTGGTGTCCAATGTTCCTAATCTTTGCTTGTCTTTCTACACAGGCAGTTGGCCAATGGAGACTAGGTATTTCACACTTTCATTATTGAGAGCACATGTGAGTGGGGGTGGGGAAGACAGAGGGAGAGGGAGAATTTGAGCACTGGGTGTTATATACAACTGATGAATTGTTGAACACTGCATCTGAAACTAATGATGTACTATATGTTGGCTTAATTGAGTTTAAATAAAGAATATTTTTGAAAAATAGTCTGTCACTTAATTGAGCCACCCAGGCACCCCAACGCACTGTCAGAAACTGTTCAGATAATGTTGACCTTGTTATAATGGACATAAAATGAGATTGTCTCTATCTCCAAATATTGAGAGGCTCAAAGTAACTGGTGGCATTTTCTAAGATCAGAAGATCACACTCATATCAATACAGTGTCCCTGAACAAAGTATCTTTCCTCTGATACCAATAACTTCAGCAAGATCTCAAATGGGGGCAAACCTATAATTTTATTTCTTCTTTCCTCTTCAGAACTTTTTTAGATTGTGACTTCATTTGTGAACGTAAAATCCTATTTTGCTTCTCTCTGGAAAATAGAAGTCTTCTTTGAGCCATAAAATTATCTTTCTCTTAAATTTATTTATTTATCTACATTATTTTTGTGAGGGAACTAAAGTTTATGTAAATCAGGTATATTGAAAAGGTTTTTAAAAAAAGATTTTATTTATTTATTTGACACAGAGATAGAGAGCACAAGCAAGGGCAGTGGCAGGCAGAGGAGAGGGAGAAGCAGACTCCCCACTATTTATGGAGCCCTGTGAAGGGCTCAATCCCAGGATGGTGAGACAATGACCTGAGCCAAAGACAGACACTTCTTAATGGACTGAGCCACCCAGGTACCCCTAAAAAGGGTTTAAAAATTTTTTTTTTAATTTCTTTAGGCTTCCAGGAAATCACATAGAAATCCTTAGGGCTAGTTATTGTCTAATATTATAAATGAGGAACCTGAAGCTCAGAGAGATAAGGCAACTTGGCCAAGGACCCACAGGTAGCTGGTTTACAGTGCAGCAAGATGGTTTCTGCTGTGGTTCCATGAATAGTAAACTAATGAATAAATGACAGAGGACATGCCTCATCCTCGGCTTCTACAGAGATTTTAGCCCTTCTTTCAAGATCAATGGGAAGGCGCTTAACAAATACAACCAGGCGAAACCCAAGAAAGTTTCACAAGCTTTCCTCTTTGTGAACTGCACCAGGTCCTATCACTAGGGGGCACCCTCCAAGACAAAGGAATCGACCTGTTCTGTTTCCATTGCTTTTCCTGCAAAAGCCAGACACGTGACTTTCCAGCTCTCCATTTGTCTCACGGCGCCAACATCCAAAGAAAGATACCAAAGCCCCATATTTTTCCGTTTAAAAAAAAAAAAAAAAAAAAAAGTAAGTTAGACTTTCAGTGTTTGTGAGTGGAATAAAAAAGATCTTCTTAGAACTATCAGCATAGACCTCGGCAGAAGCCTCCCCGCCTCCAACAGGTGAGGTTCAGTCCCGCTGCTATACTGAGCATCAGTAGGTCCCTCAGGTCTTCCTTGTTTTCTTTGTAGACCGCGAGGCTCAGGTTCGGCTGGGTTTAATGATTAACAGCTGGTATTTGAACGTGTGGTTCTGCGAGGCTTTGGCAAGCAGGCATACACTAATGGGAGTTTGCCCAACTGCTAAGGCATGCAGACAAATCCGAGTTCTCTAGCAATCTCTCTGGGCATTTTTTTTTTTTTTTTTGAAGATACAGTAAAATAAGACAAAAAGAGCAAGCAACTCGACCGACGAACATTTTTGATATGCCGAGATTTTAAGGGCCTTGCGGAAGTGCTCCACAAAGAGACAAGGTTGCATAACATTGGGAACCAGTTAAAGTAAATATCAAAGTGAGCGTTACCTGCATAAGTTCATGTAGAGGAGGATGAAGACTATTTGGGAAGAAGAAAAACACTCTTACTGAGAATGCGGCAAACAAGCAAACAAAATGTTCTCAGGTATGATTTTGAAAATTCTTATTTAAGATTTCTCCCGAGCAATTATCCTTTTTCTACCACTGGGGCTTAAAAAACATTTTTATTTTTTTACAATGGAGAGTGATTGGTTTATTAAATTTGTCTGACCTGACATTTTAGAAGCTTATATCTCTAATCAGTTTGAGAGAAGATACAGAATGAAAGAAGACTAATCTTTGTAATCAATGACAAGTATTTTGCAAATTAAAAAGGTTTTCAAGATCAATATTAAGAAATAAGTCTTGGGGCGCCTGGGTGGCTCGGTGGGTTAGGGCCTCTTGCCTTCGACTCTGGTCATGAAATCAGGGTCCTGGGATCGAGCCCCGCATCAGGCTCTCTGCTCAGCGGGGAGTCTGCCCCCCCCCCCCCGCCCCCCGCCTGCCTCTCTGAGTACTTGTGATGTCAAATAAATTAAAAAAAAAAGTCTGGATTTTTCTCACTGACGGTCGGTTTTTTATAGAAGAGTTAAATCAGTACTTTGTGGGGATGAGTACATTTATGGATGACCAAGACAGTCTATGAATATATTTGCAGCAGAATTTTTAAAATGGGAAACTTTGTAAGTAGAAAATCATTTGGAGCTCAACAGCTATAGAGACTTCAGCGATGGAAAGTAAGGAAGCAATTTGTAAGGGAAAATAAAAGTGGAAAAATTGGAGTTGGGGAAGGGTCAGATGATGGCAGTGAGAAATCTCTGGTTAATGGTGAGGGGCAGGCGGGGTGGGGGTGGGGGCAGGGAGCAAGCAAAGATGAGGGGTGTAATCTCCCCTGTCAGTTCTGGGTTCTTCAGAACTAGGAAAGTGTTGAACTCTACACACAACCATGCTGAAGAATGTCCTGGGATGTGGGGAAAGAAAAATTCAGCCTTATGGTAAGAACCCTGGGAACACTATGGAATTAACCACTCCCTCCCTCCCTATGTCTTATAAACACTGATGGCAGTAAGCTAATTATAAATTCACATTTTATGTTTTAAACACATGCACATTTTTCTCTTTGTAGGATGGTTTTATTATATCAAGTGGTACATTTCATTTTATTTGCCTCAGTTTCTGGTGGTAAGTAGAGCTTAATCTTAGGTATGAATTGGAAAGAGCTTGGTTCCCTGACTTGAAAACGAGGAAACAAAAGGGATTGATCCCAGGGATGGAAATCACACCGAGGTCCCATGCCATCTATTCCAGGGAAGGACATCATAGTTTTATTTTTCACTTAAGGCTCTGGGGGTTTTCAAAACAGGGGAGACAAATGAGGTACAGGAACTCTTCATAATAGCAGTAATCTATATGTATGTCTATATACACATCTGTACCTATATTTATATCCAAATCCATATCACTCATACTAGTTTGATGGTAAGTAGTACTTGCTTTGTACCAAGAGGTGGGATGTGTGGGCAGTGGGAGTATTTTGAGCTGTTAATAGACTTCATTAAGGCTGTGGGGCGGTGGGTGGGGGGAACTGCTGTACAGTTCTGTTGGAAGCAACACAGAACTTGGGGGGGCCAGGTTTCTGTTAACCTCCAGGTCATTCTTGGCTAGCTGCCAATTTTGGAGAAAATTATGCTATCTGCAGAGGTTGTAGTTGGGTAATTTAGAAGGTGTATATGGTGGGTTTTGAGCAGAGTCTGTGGCAGGGATCCTTACTCCTTTTCCCCCATAAATCCATGGAGACTATATTCTCAGAATAATGTCTTTAAAGACATAAAGCAAAAATACACAGGATTACCAAGAAAATCAAGTATATTGCAATATACTTAATTAATGTGTTTAAAAAAAAAAACACCCCGAATTCTGATATAAAAATAGATCTGCTTCGTATTAACACATGATATAACAAGATTTAGTGGTTAAAATCTTAGTGGTCTAAAAATGCAGAGTAATAATTACTACCAAAGTAGTCATGAGGATAATGGTATTTTAAGGTATCTGTAGGTAGTATTTTCTTTTTAAATCTTATAATTGTACTATGACAAAGTTGCAGATACTGTGAACACTATGTGCTTTGTTACTTACATTAACAAGAGAAGTCTATGCCACATTTCAGTTAGAGGTTAGAGAAAATAAAGTTGGAATTTTCCCCATCCAAGGTCATGGGCTACCTAAATCTTGTAAGCCTCTAGTGATAGTTTTCACTGCTCCCTACTTACATATTTTCCTATATATTTGGTATGTTGGTTATTGCTACAATAAGTATTTGAGTTATATTTTATCCTCCCAAAGTATTTCATTTTTACCAAATCTGTATGTATACATTTACATATATAGTATGCATATAGTAAATGTATATGAAAGATATTAAGAAGACCATGGGCGGTATAGTAGTACTTCTTAATAGGAATATACCAAGATTAAAAACTACAACCTTTTATTCAGTGACTAAATAATAATGACCCAAAGAGTATAATCTGAAATATTAGCTATCTCTTCCTAGAAACAGAAAAAAAAATAATCTTATGCACTTTAGCTTTAAAAGAAAAAAACACAAACCTGTGTATGGTTTCAGTTAGAATGGGATTCAGCTATTTTTCTGAGCGTCTAAAGTTCCTGTTACTAAACTGGCCCATTTAAAATAGTAATATGATACCGAATATCACATCCAGGGCCATTGAGCACTATTGAAAAGTCAATCTGGATCCTTTGTTTCATATAAACTTGGAGTTTCAACAAGCAAGCAGCAGGGAAAGGAAAAAGCAGGTGGCCCAGTCCAGACTTGGATGCAATGCTAAAGAACATCTTGGGCCAGTAAAGCTCTGTGCAATTATTCAGTCACCCACAAAGCTCCCGTGTCTCCCAGACAACCCCCATCTGCACCGTTCCATTAAGGCAAACGTGCCATTTTGTGATTTCCTTTTCTGTCTGAGGCTTCTCACCCAATAAACTACCATAAAAGTATTGATTGCTCTGATTTCCAAGGTCAGGCATATTTTCTGTTATGTAGACCTGCTCTGCTGGCCTTTGTGAGATTATTTTCTAATCAGTTATGTGCAACTAAAATCCAAAATAAGGCATGCAATGTATTACATCACAGACTGTGTGACTGAGCTGTTGACAGACACCTGCTTCGAAGGAGGAGACATCACTACCGTCTTCACGCCAAGTGCCAGGCATTGCCAGCTCGTCTGCACCCACCACCCACGCTGTTTGCTTTTCACCTTCGTGGCTGAATCGTCTTCTCAAGATCCTACCAAATGGTAAATGTTTGCATTTCTACATAGGAGAAATAGTTTTTACATGAGGATTACTTACCAATGAGTATTCATCTACCATTTTATAAAATGTATGGTCAATAGTTGGAAAACATACTGTCCTTCAATTGAAATACAAAATATTACAGAAAAAAAGGATGGTGTTTTGGCAGATAAGGGAGGAGCAGATGTGCCCCTCAGTGTGGACTTTCCAACTTCTCTGTGGTCTAGATTTTAATGGTGTACTTTCTCTCTTATTTCTCTCCACTTTTATGCCTCTTAATCATTTTGTTCTTTGCTTTTTGATTGTTATTGATGTTGGATGTTATTTAAACTGGTGCTTTTCCCTCAATTATTTTATTAGGAGATAAATATTTATAATGGTAGTTTCAAAGAATAGTACAGTAGTCCCCTGACACCACCAAGACTTTTGCCATTTCTTCCCTATCTACCTCTCTTTCTATCATCTATCTAATCTATCTGTTTAACCACTTGAATTAATTTGAAGACATTATAACATTTCACCCCTAAATATTTCAGTATACATTTTCCTACACGAAAAACATATAATTTTAACAAGAATCCCTTTAAATCATCTCAGTTGTCCCCCAAATATAATTTATAGCTATTAACCAGAATCTTCTTCAGAAGATTGCATTTGCATTTGATCACAAATTGCATTTAGTGGTTTTATGTCTATAATTATGGTTTTATTTTTATTTTTTTAAAGGTTTTGTTTATTTGAGAAAGTGAGTGAGAGAGAGCATGAGAGGGAGAGGGTCAGAGGGAGAAGCAGACTCCCCACTGAGCTGGGAGCCCGATGAGGGACTCGATCCTAGGACTTGGGTTTCATGACCCCAGCCGAAGGCAGTCACTTAACCGACTGAGCCACCCAGGTGCCCTAGAGTTATATTTTTAAAATTTTAGGACATTCCATCCACAACTTTTGTTTCCATGTTGAACCTGAAAATTCAGTAACAAAGCTTTACTACAGAATTAAGTTATCAACATCTTTGTGTCTTATTGCCACATTCATAGATACTTACATAGTACCCAGAACTTATGAAATTACTATTCTAGAATCTAGAGCAGAGCTTGGCAAACTTTTTCTTGACAAGGCAGGGAATAGTTTGGGCTTTACAGGTCAAAAAGCAAAATCAAGAATATTACTTAAGTACTTATATAACCATTTAAAATGTAACCATTTAAAAATATAGAAACAATTCTCAGCTCATGGGCCAGACAAAACAGGTGGAGGATTGTTTCACCAACAGGCCAGAGTTCACCCACTCCAGTTTCCAGGTAGTAGGGAATACAATATGTGATCTTTTAAGTGTAGGAATGTTGGAATGAGAAATAAATTTGCAGTTTTGCCAAGAAAATATTTGTTTTGGCAGGAGATAGAGGAATTTGTTTCTTTCTCTTTGACTTTCTGTGTGCTGGCTTTTAAGATCCATTCTTTTATTTTTATTTTTTTTAAAGATTGTATTTATTTATTTGACAGAGCTCACAAGTAGGCAGAGAGGCAGGCAGAGAGAGAGGAGGAAACAGGCTCCCTGTTGAGCAGAGAGAGCCATGCGGGGCTTGATCCCAGGACCCTGAGATCATGACCTAAGCCAAAGGCAGAGGCTTAATCCACTGAGCCACCCAGGTGCCCCAAGATCCATTCTTTTAAAATGTAAATTCTCATGCAGTAATTTTTTTTTTTTTTTTTTTAAACAGGTTTACTTGTATCCTGAAAGACAGTGTAACAGAAACACTGCCAAGGATGAATATGACAGGAGCCATTTCTGGATATTCTTTCAAGCAATGCTCACACCAAATAAGTGGTAAGTTGTCTTATTAGAATTTTTAAATGCTAGTTACTGTGATGTATATGTATAGTCATATCACATATGGTTTTATAATTATAAAACAAAACCCTGCTGTATGGTCATAGAGTCTCCAAATGAAGTTAGTTCCTTCAGTGTAGAATAAAAACTAAGCATGCATATCCCCCCCATTCATTAAAATTTACACAATAAAAGGACATGATCTTACTACATTAGTCCTCACCATTCATTTGTTGTCTTTCTCTTTTCCAGTTTAAAGTTTTATATAAAAGTCCTTATTAAACGTATGACTTCAAATCAAAAGAGCAGCTGTAAAAGTTGAGATGACACTTGCCTTAATAGTCAAAAGATTCCTGGATAGTTTAGTCAATCAGTCAGAGGGTTAAAGGAGATCAGGGAGGCCAGGGCAGAAAACTGAAACAGTGATTTACAAGTTTACATTGTTGCAATATAAGAAGGACATGGGCATTGTTTTGCGGCTTCCACCTGAGGGTAGAAATTAAGCAGATTAAGATGAAAACAAAGGATTTCTGAGGAACAGTGGCAGTTAAGTGTGGAAAGAGGAAGTCAGGAGGGACAGTTGCTAAGGTAGCATTATTCCAGTTGCCCCTGGAATCTGGAAGATTGCCATTTTCTACTTTTGTTTCCAGCTTGCAACAAAAAGGTGTATGTGGGCTTGGACATGAAAGGCATGAACTATAATGGCTCGATCGCTAGGAATGTTCAGGAATGCCAAGAGAGGTGTACGAATGATGTGCACTGTCACTTTTTCACATACGCAACAAGCCAGTTTCCCAGCGCAGAGCATCGGTGAGTGAGCAATGGGCTGAACCCAAGGACAGTAAGTAGATCATTACATTATCCGATGAAAAACATGTATTGCATGGAGCACTGGGTGTGGTGCAGAAACAGTGAATCTTGGAACACTGAGAAGATAAAATTTTTTTAAAAAGGAGAAAAAAAAAGAAAAACAAAATTTCTCTTTAGCTGAATGCCAGATTTTACTTTTAGCCCCTAAATGACATTATTACAGTAAGTACAGTGCTGATAGTCTTCTTCACAGAAAGTGCGTTTAAAGCCCAACTCGGATGCATTTCCTTATACTAAGGAGTCTGTCTTTTACTGACATTGTTACATTAAAAAAAAAAAAAAAAATTGGGCGCCTGGGTGGCTCAGTGGGTTAAGCCGCTGCCTTCGGCTCAGGTCATGATCTCAGGGTCATGGGATCGAGTCCCGTATCGGGCTCTCTGCTTGGCAGGGAGCCTGCTTCCCCCTCTCTCTCTCTCTCTGCCTGCCTCTCTGTCTACTTGTGATCTCTCTCTGTCAAATAAATAAATAAAATCTTAAAAAAAAAAAAAAGTAACCCATCTCCTAACTAATTTAAAAATGACACATTTCTTCATTGACAGTTTTGAGAGTTATAATTGGTCTGACTATGCCATTCCTGGCCTAAAGGATTATAGAACCAAAAGGAAAAACCCTCTCAGGCCTCTTTAAATGACAGTTTCTTACCTAAGACAAAATAACTGAAACCCATGTGAAGTGTTTTAAAATCTTTCCCACATTGGATTTTGAAATATTCCAGAGATAAATGGGTAGGATATAAAAAGGACTTGATCTCTAATAATGAATCTGTGTTCTCTTTTTAAAAAAAGTTTAGGGAAGAAATGTCACTGACTTTTATATTTACAAATATTTGCGATGTTTTTGAGTTCTATGGTAAATTATACTTATCTAGAATCCAAAAGAGAGAAAGAAAAATAAGTTCAAATGACAAATATTTGGATTTACCTTTGGGTTTTAACATTGCCGCTCTCCATATTCACAACAGGGACACGAAGGAAAGCAAATAAAGCAATAGAGATTTATTTCAAAAACAATGATAAAACCCTAATAAGCAAGCTTTCATGGTTTGTATTTAGCTTAGTTCGTATATCTTTTTACATATTTTATATCTAAGACTTAACACAATGGGGACAGCAAGCCAGGAACTTGGGAGTTGCTGGGCATTATAAAAAAGTTAAACTGCTTAAATTGAGAAGGGCTTGAGAATTCATTACTTCCCACCCGATACTCTTTAGACCATCCTTCCTCCAAAGCTGGCATTTTTGTGGTGAAAAACAAAGTTGACAAAATTCACAGGCTCACCAGGTCTTGGCAGAGCAAGGACTGAAGTCCAATTGTCCGGTTCTCTGATTCATGCTTTTCAGAGCGATCCTTTAGCTGTAATGCCCAGGTAGTGTCTACATTGGAATTTCTTATCACCTTACGCTTTTTCCTGCTTGTATTTAGAGGAGTAAAACATTTGTCCATTTTTGTTTTTATTCAGTAACATTTGTCTCCTGAAGTACACCCAAATGGGGCTACCAACCAGAATAATGAAGCTTGGTTCAGTGGTGTCTGGATTTTCCTTGAAATCCTGTGCACTTTCTAACCTGGGTAACTATTACTACTTCGTGAGACGGTTTGGCCATTAAATAGTAAGTGCATGCTGATGGTATGTACTATGGGTGCTCACTGATGAGATGGACCAAATGATCTTTTACCTTCTTCCCGTGAAAAAATTCATTATGTCCTATATAATTAGAGCTACGTTGGAATTTAAAATAATCACTTTATGTTTCCTCATTTATTTTATTTTTTTTAAAGATTTTATTTATTTATTTGACAGATGGAGATCACAAGTAGGCAGAGAGGCAGAAAGGGAAACAGGCTCCCCGCTGAGTGCAGAGCCCGACGCGGGGCTCGATCCCAGCACCCCGAGACCATGACCCGAGCCGAAGGCAGAGGCTTTAACCCACTGAGCCACCCAGGCACCCTAATGTTTCCTCATTTAAAAGAAACATTTGAAGATCCTCAGATTAAAAAAAAAACTTTAAAAAAATTGTTATGGAGACTTTATTACCTTAGAGCAATTTTAGATTTGCTGCAGAGTTGAGGGGAAAGTAGAGATGCCCCATATACCCCTGTGCCCCACCCATGCGCAGACTCCCTCATGATCAATATTCCCCTCCAGAGTGGTACGTTCGTTACGGTTGATTAACGTACGCAAACCCATCCTCCTCCCCTCAAGTCCATGGTTCACTTTCTCATGCACTCTTGGTGGTGTGTATTCTATGGGTTTGGACAATGTCATTACAGTATCATACAGAGAATTTCCACTGCCCTCAAATTCCTCTGTGCTTAGCCTATTTATCCCTCCCTCACCCCCTCACTAACTTTTCATATGGCATTTACAAATATGATAACTGAGATTTTACCGATTGTGTGGGAGAACTGATTCCTTAAGCATAGTGTCTTCTGTTGTGCAGCTTGCATTAGGGACATTTTCCCTGGTACGGCGTTTGCAGACAGTAATATTGACAGTGTCGTGGCTCCAGATGCCTTTGTCTGTCGCCGCATTTGTACTCACCATCCCAGTTGTTTGTTTTTTACCTTCTTTCCTCAAGAATGGCCAAAGGAATCTGAAAGGTAAGGAGTTAAGATTAAGATTAATGTGGTATCTTTTAAAACAACTGCTCAAAATCCATTGTTAACAATTCTGAGCTGCTACACATTTGATCTAAATGCCTGCATAGAGTAGATCAAATTTGCAAAGAAGAATTCCTAGCTCCTCTCTCTTTCTGTTCCCAACCTAATGGCCACAAATCCCATGTTAGCAAGGACTCTTGTTTTCTTTAGCTGGGGGAGGTCCCTGCCTTCAGCAAAGAGAGTTGCCTAGCTCTTAACAGAATGAAGAAAACATGGATGACCATTAAGAGGCAACTTCGTCCAATGCCCAGTTTGAGATCATTGAGCAGAAGAAGCTAGGAATACCAGTGAAATGTCCAATCACTGTGAAGAGAAGGGGAAGTGAAGGCCTATATTAATGAAATTGGGGATAATTGCGAAGGGAGTTTTGAGACTTGAAATGCTGTTTCCCTACTGATGGGTATTAATACAGGAAACCATAGTAAAGCATAAGAATTGTCTTTGATCATTAAAGGGTTATTTTTTGGGGTTGCTGCCCCTCATTAATAAGACTTACTAAAAAAAACAAACAAACCCAAGTCTGCTTCAGAATCTAGGTTCTCTATATTATCTGAATCAGAATTCCCAGAATCCTTGGTATGCACTTGATTTGGTTGCCCACATGGGGATTGTGTCCCCAAGAGCAATCCAGCCAGGGTAGCCCTCAAGTTTCTTGTCCATCAAGCAAGCCTGGTTTTCCATTGAGAAACTTTCAGAAGTATTCAGTCTGTCACATGAAAATATATCTGTTGCTTTCATTTACTCAACAACATAATGTAATTTATTTGGTGCCTTCTGTATACCAGGCACTGTTCTAAACACCAGGGATACTATTAATGAACTAAACAGATAAAAACCCTGCCCTATTTGGACCAGAGTGAAAGTGATAGAGAAGTAATCAGATTGGGATATATTGTCCATGTAGGGCCAATAAGATTTGCTGATGAATTTGACGTCGGCTCTGGAGGAAAGAAAGTCAATGATAGCGCTAAGACTTTTGGCCCAGGGAGCTGAGAGGATGAAAACCCCATCACAGGGATGTAGATTTCAAGAGGGAAGAGATGCCTAGTAGACATCCAGAAGTGTTGAATTGGCAATTGGAAAGAGAAATCTGGAACGAAGAAGAGAGGTTTATGTTCTAGATCTGTGTTCTGGTGTTACCAGCATACATGGTAATCCAAGTGACTGAAACTGGGTGAGAACGTTAAAGGACTGAAAGCAGGCAGAGAGAAAGGAGGTTCAAAGATTGAGCCTTGGGACATGATAAATGCCACAAATTAGAAAGATGGCTTTGATACCATTGGGTTCATTGCTGTTCTTTTTCTTTGTATTCCTTTTATAAAATTCTCAATCAATGTCTGTAAGAGGAGTAACACTTGGATCTTCAGTACAGGGTGAGAGAGGGGGATGAACACTATAGGGCAAGACTTGGCTTTTTAAATTTAAATTAATTAAAATTAAATAGAAGTATATATTCATTTCTACAGTTGTATTAGCCACATCCAAGTGCTCACTAGGCACATGTAGCTAATGGCCATTGCCTTGGATGGCACAGACATGGACTATTTCCATCACTGCGGAAAATTCTGTTGGGCACCTCTGCTCTACACTGTGATTTGGGGCTAATTAAGAAAAGTTCATTCCTTCTAGGAAGATGCTCCCTGTGCGGAGTCTGTGTTGGAATGCATTTATCCCTGTCTAAGCCACGAATAAATCTGCCATCCAGAGTCACCCAGCAACTCCGGATGCCAGATTTCTCCATTAACATGAAAGTGATGGAATCTTTGAGTTGGGCGAGGAGATTTGAAAGAAAGGGGGCAAAGAAGGAAAGTGCTTGGAACACTGACAATAGAAGCAGCTCAGAAAATTTTTATGGAGGCAAGTCGTTTTGTTTTGAAGATCTGTCTACCACCTGTGGATCATGGGGTCTCACTTAATGATTTATGAAGAGTACTTACAAAATGAAAAATTTTTCACTATCCAGGACCAACATGAATTAATTGCCTTTTGTATGTGCTATAAAAAATGGTTCTTCTCTTTGATATGTCCTACATGATATATTTACATTACCCTCCCCCCTCACTTTTTTTACGGTCAGAAATCTTTGTCTCCTGAAAACATCTGAAAGTGGATTACCGAGTACACGCATTAAAAAGAACAAAGCTCTTTCTGGGTTCAGTCTGCAAAGCTGCAGACACAGTGTCCCAGGTAAGCTGTGAAAGCACTTTCTCCTGCTCGAGCTCAGCACAGCCGAGGCTGACCAGTGCTGAGGTTTTGTGTCTCATATCTGATCTGTGGTTTGCTGCCTAGTGTTTTGTCACTCCTCATTTTACCACGACACTGATTTCTTGGGAGAAGAACTGGACATTGTTGATGCGAAAGGGCATGAAGCTTGCCAGAAAATGTGTACTGACGCCATACGCTGCCAGTTTTTTACCTACTCCCCATCTCCAGAATCTTGCAACGGAGGGAAGTAAGACCTATGAAGAGTTATGTACACACTCTTGTCCCATCTTCTAGAGGGGTGCGTTATGTTTATACTCTTTTGTTTCCAACTTGCAGGGGTAAATGTTACTTAAAACTTTCTTCAAATGGATCTCCAACTAAAATACTTCATGGGAGAGGAGGCATCTCTGGATATACATTAAGGTTATGTAAAATGGATAATGGTGAGTTTAATGTTACCTTAGGAAAAATACATCCGAAGGAGTTACTCTGTACCAAATATATCACGACAGAGAGAGTCATTAATAGCTGCAAAGGGGAGAAAATTAGTATGATAACAAACTTAGATGCAATTTTCTCTTATTTCTGCTCCTGTCACTCAGGCTGACCATTTTTTATGGGTAATTATTGGGCCTTAACTAAACTCTGCGTTGCCTTAGTATTAAATGAATATGTGTTTTAATTTGACACATTTATACAGCTGGTATTTCATGGTGAGACTCAGGTTTAGCCAACACTTTGATGTTTGATTCTTATTATGAAGGCCAGTGATCTTTCTTATCATCCTTTAAAAATGAATATCAGCCAGCATTTTGGTTAATCAAATCATTCATTTTCTGTCCATCAGCCATGACTTGACTTTTAACTGAAAGATAAATAATTATCATATGTTTGAAAAATTATGTATTTATTAAAAAAATAAAGTAGTTCCTTCTCAGGGGCCTTCATTCTTTTCTGATTGCCTACAGTGTTCTGCATATCTATTTACTATTGGCAAAAATTTACAGTAAAACCTTTTTAATTTATAACAATCAGTGTGGTAGGGTAGAAAGGAAATAAAAAGATTGTATACATTAAAGAAGACCTATACTAACATAAAAATTTTAATGGAAATCAGATCAGCTGTGGCCAATTCCAGGGGCTAATTTCTAAGCATAGTACCGAGTGCTGGTTTTTAGGCAAACAGATGATCTAAAGGACAGAATCCCCAAGAGGAAAGAATATACCACACTCCTCCCTAAATTACCCATTATGACTTCAGTATTTATTGATTTACATAAAACTACATTTTAGACTTTTGTTGCTTAATGTCCAGTATTATAAAGTATTACAAATTTAAGATTCAACAAGATTTAGTGAATAAAAAGGAGTGATGATTATACTTTGTAATGGTTTTCAGAGTATGAAAATTTTTTTGTGTCAGAATTCTCTACTGAGGAGAAGAGTAAATCCTTAACTTCTGAGAACTTGTCACATAGCATATACCATATTGTGTGTAGTGCTTAACATCCTAACTAGGAAACCGTGCCTTCCTGGGGTGTAGAGGGGTCTGATGGGAATCTTTGGATGGCCCGAGCTCCTTTAAAAAGCCAGCCAATGAAGTTGTATCTCAAATATTCTCTGTTTTCCTCACAATACATTTACCTGAGACGGAAGGAGCATTTACGATAATTTTGTCATCTGTTAAGCACTAGAAGGGATGCTTGACATTTGGCAGATTTTGTTGTCAGTGATATTGATACAGTTTCTAAAATGGGAATCACACTTACACCTTAAATTGCAGAATCCATTCCCTACCCACCTTCCTTCTTAGCTTTTTCTCTAATAAATGTATGGATTCTGGTCCGTGAAGGCTACAGTATATATCACGTAGAAATTGATAGCTGAAGCAGAAAATACAAGATAAAGGGAAATAAAATCTTACAACTTTTTAGGGCACCTTCTGAAACTAGATAATTAGATTTTCCTGCACTATACTAGATGAAATAATACCCTAGTTGGCGGGGGTGGGGGGGATACCTACTGGAGATAGTTATCATGTCTTACACTGTCATTGGTCTTCATAACTTCTTGAAGATACATAGCAATTGCCATAAAAAAAATGTTTCCTGACACAAAATCTAACGCTAAACACATATCCTCAGCATTTTGTTTAAACTGAGAGATGAAAGGGAATGAACAAGACCTATTACTTATCCCTAAGAAAGACTTTCTTGTTTGTAACATATTTTAGTTATGGCTTACCTATTAATTTTCCTAAACTTTGCCATTCCTTTCTTGTAAATCATAATGGCTTCCCTGAAATTTCCAGAATCTAGTCAAAATCTTCAAAATGTTACTCTGAAGCTAATCTCACTCCATCTACTCTGAGGTGAGAACTCTTCTCTCAGCATCCCAGCCTGTTTAGGCTTTCTCAAGCACATCAAGCTTATTCCTGCCTCCACATGCACCAACTGGTGTTTTCTCCAAGACTCCTTTTCCTGATTTCTCCTTTGATTTGAAGTCTGCCCCAGGATTATATATCTGTTTCCCTGTTGAGGAAAGAAAGGCCTGGATAGACTGTTTTACTGACTTCGTGTTTACCCATACTTTGTGTTTACCCACAAAACCGGGAGGCAGACCATCTAGGACTTGGCTTCTGACTAGTGACTCTCTTGCTAATTTCACACTCCTCCTTTAGCTAAGGCCATGAACCTTCCCTGATCCTCTGGGCCTTGCTATTCTAAGTGTGGTCTGGGTGTAGCATGTTGAGGTTACCGGTAAACCTGCTGAAAGAATTTCAGGTTTCACCCTAGACTGAATCAGAATCAGTATTTTAAAAAACAATCAGGTGAAAAAATAAAGTTTAAATAAAATAAAAGATAACCCGGTGATCCATATGCACATTAAAATATGAGAAGAATTGCTCTAGAAAACTGTTGTCTATGAGCACCTCATTCCCATTCTACCCGGGTTGCTGGGCCAGATTTGGCCAAGGCTCCCATCAGGAGGGTGGGTGCTCATGTTTGACATCTCGGGAAGTGGAAGCAGAATGGATTGTCCTACCCAGGGCAGCTAAGACAGGAAGAAACAGAGGGGTAAATCAGAATGAAAGTCCTTGAGAGAATGTCCAACTGTCAACAAGACCCAAAGGCAGAAGCAGTTCAAAAACAGAAGAGCAGCTCAGGTTTGGATGGAACGCAGCTGGAGCAGGAGAGACTGGGATCAAAGGTCAGCCCGAAGGGAAGAAGATGGGGGAATTGGACAGATGCGGTAAACTGAGTGGAAGGATATTCTCAAGCTTCAGGGCTGATTGAAATTCAGATTCCTTGGCTCTGCTGTCCAAGTTTCTGATCTATCAGGTCTGAGGGAAGCTCAAGAGGTTTCATCTCTAACAAATTCCCAGCTGATGTGATAGGTCTAAGGGCCACCCTTGACAATGACTTCTTTGAAAGAACCATTAGGGTTTATCATGTGAGGGAGGATAAGACTGCATGCAATACCGGATGAGACTTTCTTTGGGGACGTGTAATTACCAGGTGCCTCAGTCATTCAGTTTTCCTGTGTATGCTTCGCTTGCCAACTTGATTACAAAATTTCTTCATGTCAGCGTCATGATAGAATATGGAATCAAGGGAAGGTTTTCTCCTCTTTGAACCTGAAGGGACATAACTACTGAAGGAAAAGGAAGATTTAGGAAGCTCCTCATTGCCACCCCTCTGTTGCAGTGTGTACAACCAAAATCAAACCCAGAATTGTTGGAGGAACGGCATCTGTTCATGGCGAGTGGCCATGGCAGATAACTTTGCAGATCACGTCACCCAGCCAGAGACACCTGTGTGGAGGCTCCATCATTGGAAACCGGTGGATACTAACAGCTGCTCACTGTTTCGACGAGTTGGTACCATTCCTGTTTTTATTAGTTCCCCAGACTCACACATATATTAAATCTGTCATTAGCATTTTAGTAAATACTTTAAAAATGCAAATTATCCTATTTGCTAAATTAAATTTCTAGAGTGAAAAAAAGAAATGCAGAAGGTAAGAACCACTTATGGTCTGCCAGCATCAGATGAAGTGCGGAAACATGATGGCATACTATTTCATGTGCCCATTTAAATGCATCCAAATGTCCAGGAGTGTTCTTGGTAGTTCCATCAGGACATATCTTCTGTGCATTGTCTTGGGCCTCGGGTCCAGAACTAAACACAAGGAGAATTTCCCCTTCTCTAAATCTAATATGCCATTCTCTCTCTCCCTTGCTGCTTCTTCCCTGTCTCTCTTTTATCTTCCCCCTCCTCCTCTCTCTCTCTCTCTCTCTCTCTCTCTTCTCTCCCTATGTTTCCAAATACAGAAGGAAGAGTTCATTATAAATCCTCAAATTGGATTCCCTACTTAGGTCAGTTTCAATATTGAGCAGACCTAAAAGCTCCATCGGGAGATTATGTGTATCCCAGGGAATTTTAGTTGGCCAAACTTGCTCTTTGTACTTCAGAATTCTCTGAGTTTCCAGACATGGTATTGTGTGTTTTTTTGTCTTTCGCCAATATGTAGCATACTCACATTATAACTCACAGATATGTTTGAAGTCCATAGTCTCCTTTATGGTTTTTTTTTTTTTTTTTTTTTTACCTTTTTCCTATGGGAAAATGGAGTACCAGAAAAACCAAGTGAATTTCTCAGGATCACAGCTAATAATGCTAGGGTTGAGACTAGAACCTGGAACTCTTCATGAGAGGGCGATTGAGAGAGAAAAAGAGAGAGAACACATGTGTGTGTGAGTGTGTGTGTGTGTGTGTTGGGTGAAAAGAGCCTTCATTCATTTTTATGTGTTTTTTATAGTATATACTAACTCAGAGCTTTCTATGGGAGGAATATGTGAGTGAAAAAGCTTACTATGCAATCACTCCTTCCATCAAAAAGCCCACCACTTGTAGAAAACATTAGTAATAGGTAATTAGCAACTTGGTAATGGGAACTTCTTATCCTCTTATTGTTTTTTCCTTAGGGTAGAGTCGCCTAAAATCTTGCGTGTCTATAGTGGCATTCTAAACCAATCAGAAATTAAAAAGGACACATCTTTCTTTGGGGTTCAAGAAATAATAATTCATGATCAATATGAAGTGGCAGAAAGTGGGTATGATATTGCCTTGTTGAAACTGGAAACTGCAATAAATTACACAGGTATGTTGGAATTTTAAATGGGAAGTTATCAAGAATGATTTCCTAAATGTAATGTTTAACACCTCCAGATTCATGACCTGACCTCAGCAATCTCAAGGTGGCGTGATCGTGAAAGAGAGAGGGTCTGCAAAGCTAGTCTTTTAGTCTGTTAAGACTGGCACTCTTTCCTAATTATTAAAAAAATTAAAAAATAAATAAATTTTATTGTGGGATGTGGGTGAAGAGCTAAGTTTTCTGCAGGTTTTCTCAGATGCACCAAATGACATAACTCTATAACATATTGGAATATTAAAGATGATTGATATCTCTCTTTTAGAGACAAAAGAATTGCAGGTCAGAACAAGTAAGCAGTTTCTACAGGGTCACAGACCTAGTTAGAGAGATGGAGCTCATGGGGAGGGCTGTGCCTTGTCTCCCCCTCATTCCCTCACCCATCTAGTATGTGATGGATAACGCTGAACATGAGTGAAAATGAATGGAAATGAGGTAAACCCAAATATAATAAATAGAGAACACACGACCTGATATAAAGCTAAAGAAGAGAGTCTCTTCTGGGAAAGAAGGTATATTTTGATTCTGATGACTAAACTATGATTTTTAAAATTTAGATGCTCAGAGGCCCATATGTCTACCTTCCAAAGGAGATAGAAATGTAATATATACTGATTGCTGGGTGACTGGATGGGGGTACAGAAAGTTAAGAGGTAAGAAATGGTGTTTCTCAGTGTGCTCCATTCTAAAGGTAAAGAACATAGCTCAGGTTTACCCTTATCTGCTATATCATGGCATACAGCTAAAATGTGAGTAAAATAATCATGTCCTTCAACTACAGAAAGCATGTTAAATAAAAATGAAAGGCAGGGCACCTAGGTGGCTCGGTCAGTTAGGCGTCTACCTTCGGCTCAGGTCATGATCTCAGGGTCCTGGGATCAATCCCCACATCAGGCTCCCTGCTCAGCGGAGAGTCTGTTTCTCCCTCTGCCCCTCCTCCTGCTCATGCTCTTGGTCTCTCTCTCTCTCTTTCTCAAATAAATAAATAAATAAATAAAACCTTTAAAAAAATGAAAAGGTGAAGTTGCCCAAGTGAGGAGGATCCCACATCTGTTTGATTGGAAATTTTAAACATGACAATCTCATTTAAAGACTAATTATTTTTAATGACGTTTAATGTGAAACCTAGCACTTCTCATGAAATGTCCTGGCCTATTCAGTTATTTTCTCTAGGCTGTAATTCCAGTTAGAGGCATACTTAGTTTTGAACTTAGTGTTCACAAATAATCTCTATATTTTGCAATTATAAAAGGTTTATGAGGTAAACCTAATATTTTTTCTAGATTTTTATATAAGTATGATTTTGATTTTAAATTCATACCTTTATATATATATATATATATATATATATATATATGATGATTCCACTAACAAACCTTTTTTTTTTCAGGCAAAATACAAAATACCCTCCAGAAAGCTAGCATACCCTTGGTGACGACTGAAGAATGCCAGATAAGATACAGAAGGCATAAAATAACGAATAAGATGATCTGTGCAGGCTATAAAGAGGGAGGAAAGGATGCTTGTAAGGTAAGAGTGTTTTCAATCAGTTGAATACATTCACATTAGAATGTTTAATGCAATTTTTTTTTAAAGATTTTATTTATTTATTTGAAAGACAGAGATCACAGGTAGGCAGAGAGGCAGGCAAAGAGAGGAGGAAGCAGGCTCCCTGCCGAGCAGAGAGCCCGATGCGGGGCTCGATCCCAGGACCCCGAGATCATGACCTGAGCTGAAGGCAGAGGCTTTAACCCACTGAGCCACCCAGGCGCCCCTTAATGCAATTTTTAAAGAGAGAGCGAGAGCGAGCACATGCACACAAGTGGGGGAAGGGCAGCAGGAGAAAGAGAGAATCCCAAGCATGTTCCACACAAGGAGCCTGATGCGGGGATTGATCTCACGACCCTGAGTTCATGACATGAGCCAAAACCAAGAGTTGGACACTTAACTGACTGAGCCACCCAGGCACCCCAGAAAGTTTAATGCATTTAAGAAGCAGTCTTCTGGAAACCATGATATATTATTTTATTTACATTGAAGTTTATCGAAGAGCCAAGAACAGAATTTTAAGCAAAATCACTCTGAGGGAAATGTATTTAGATGAGAAGCATCTGAACTCATATGTGCACCTTTTCTTCCCCCCTTCTTCACCCCATCACAGGGAGACTCAGGGGGCCCCCTGTCCTGTAAACACAACGAGGTCTGGCATTTGGTGGGCATCACCAGCTGGGGAGAAGGCTGTGGTCAAAGGGAACGGCCAGGGGTTTACACCAACGTGGTTAAGTATGTGGACTGGATTTTGGAGAAAACTCAAGCAGTATGAAAGAGTCCCCACATGCCATTTGACACCTGAAAGGCAAACCAGATTATTTCTGGGAGGAGGGTTTTGATTGCACCGAAGACAGAGGCTGGGCTGCCATTTTCCTCCATAGGTTATGGTGCTGAGATAGTAACGCAGTGAAGGGGGTGGGTATTTGTGAGAATGTGCCAAGAGAAACAAATGATCATCTTCAAAACTTCCATTCTATGATAATCGTTGTTTTCAGCATCCAGTCTCTTGGTTTTTGATCACATGTTACTGGGCCAAAGAAATACTCCATGGTGATTTTTTAAAAATTCAAGTATTGATATTTTTTAAGATTCAAGAATCCAGTTGTGGCACCAGAGGCTCCGATAGAGCTGCCAGAAGCAACCACCATAAAAAGATTCGTGAAGTGAGAACTGGGAGCTGGAGAAAATGGGGACAAGGACAGTTACCCTCATTTTGCAAGAATCTGTGCTCTGCCTACATGAACATCTTTCTTTTGTGAAAGAAGAACTTGACTGGATTCAACGGCTGGTTTTCAGAATAATCAGGAATTTTTGTCAATTCAATTTTTTTTTTTTTTAAGAGGGAGAGAACAATGGGTGGAGGGTGGGGCAGAGGGGAGGGAGAGAGAGAGAATCTTAAGCAGGCTCCATGCTCAGCACAGAGCCTGATGCAGGATTTGATCCCATGCCCGAGATCATAACCTGAGCCAAAATTGAGAGTTGGTTGCTCAACCAGCTAAGCCACCCAGGCACCCCTGTCATTTCGGTTTTTAATATGTTTTTAAAGTAGTTTGGGTGGACATGAACCATGAGTGCATGTGAATGTCGACTCTAGGATTTCTATATGGGAAAGGATTGAAGGCTGTAATTCACCTGGACGTGGTATCTTAAGGGAAGAATTTTAAAGTTGTACTTGCCTAGAAAACTACTGGTGTGTAGATTGTATATTTATTTGGTGTGATTCTGGGTAAAGGAAGCTGATGGAGGTGAGGGAAACAAGCTAGAGCTTTCTGAAGAGAAGCTGCCATGGTGAGTGTGAGTTTACAAATCTACATTCATGGTAATAAAGGGTTTGGACAGAATTCAATACAAAGTACCTCCAGACTTCAGGGAAAAAACAATTTGGGAACAAGTGGATGGTTCTTGTAGAGTCTTCTTTATCTTCAAAACAGCTCCCTGTATGCTAAGTGTTGGGGTTTGCCCTCTAGTGCGAGTATTTGGTTATTGTTTCTGATGCCTAGACTGTGCCCTGTTTCCACTGCCGTTTTCAACCTGTGTCAACAACATTACATCTTATACAGTATGAAAAATGCTTAGGGAGCACACTGAACTATGAGGACATAGTGGTAAGCAAAGTGCTATGTCTTTACCTTCATGGAACCCCAGTCTAGGTAGCATGAACAACAAAAATCAAAGAATTATACAAGTGTAAAACTTCAGTGGGAGGGACGTACAGGGCTCTGTGACAATGGACAGGAAGATGAGCATTTGGGGCAGGTTCAAAGACTAGGATAAAAATGAGCTTGTGCTGAGGAGGACAAATGAAAAACAAAAGCAAACAGAACCCCAAATCAAAAAGACTGGGATGGTCTAACGGGGCCAGATCCAAAATGCTTATAGAGTCAAACAAGACAGACTGAGACTTGAGCACCATTAAAATTACCAAACAGTAGTAATAATTTTCTTATTATCTGCTTATTACCTTAGTAGTCTTGATGTAACACTTCACATTTTAAAAAAAATTGGGATATAATTCTTCGTAGGAAGAGATCTTCCCTCTACGTTCCCCATTTGTGTCTTTTTTGTGGTTCAAAACGAGAGGAAGAGGCATGAAAGGAAGAGGCATGAAAGACCATGTGTTACTAATCCATTTCTGAATAAACGTTTGTTCTTTAAAAGAGGCAGAGAGAGAAAGATCTTTCTGAAGTCTTCCCTGACAAATATTTGAGAAAAACACCACCTTAGTGTTGTCATACTTAACATTGAATATTATCTTAATTTTTGAATAGTAAGCATATGCCCATGATTCAGAAATGAAAATACTGGGAGAACATATAAAATATACCTTATACCTATAATAAGAATGTTCCTGCCCCACACCAAAAGACTGCACACCCTAACTGTTCAGCACTGTTCTCCTTTTTATACTCTGCCTTGGAAATATTTCTGATTGGTACCCAATGGGCTTCCTCAGTTTGTATTTTTTACAAAAGTATGGTATTCCAGTGTGAGGATTCCAAATACCAGCTGCCTACTGATAGACACTTAAGTGGTTTTCAATTTTTTCACTCACTCATATGTGGTAAATTTGTAGCATATATTCCAGAAGTAGAATTGCTGAGAACAAAACAAAACCAAAAGAGTAAATGCATTTGTAATTTCAATGTTATCCAATTTCTCTCCAAATTGTCAATTTTCTCTCCCATTGGCAATATAGCAGGGCGACCCTTTGGCTAACTTGATGACATTAAACTTGGGAATTTTTGACAGCCTGATAGTTGGAAAAAGGTGTCTCAATATAGTTTTGTTTTTGTGACTTCCTTAATACAAATGACATTAAACATCACATGTATAAGGTCACCAACTTATTAACAGCTTAATTTTTATTTAAATATTTAGCAGTTACCATGTAGACAAAAATAGAGTATGTTCCTTGCAGCCTTACAACATGGTAAGAATTCTTGCAAGGAAAAAAAAAAAAAAACAACTTCCAGAGCTTATCTTATTAAAACTGGACAGTAGCTCAGTATTGTGAAAATATTGGTTGGTAGTCCTTCTTGCAGGTTACAGGCATAGATTTGGTGTGGAAGTAGTTCCATCTCTGGTTCCAGGGATGGATCCATCCATCTGTGGCTGAGCAGGTCTAGGTAGCTGGCACATGGCCTTCCCCAGCTCCTGGAATTGGCTCAGATATGTCAGTCTGAGCAACATGTAAGACTTTAATTGTTGAGGGAATGGCTTTCTCCTCCTCCTCCAGGTGAATGAGGAAGCACTTATGGCAGCAAATTTGAGAAGCCAGCCCAGGGCCCACCGAGACATGGAGACAGAATGCCCGAAGGCTGAACCAACTTTTGGCTTCCTTATTTCATAGCAGTAAATCAATCTCCTTTTGTGTTTAAGGCAGTTCAAATTGGGTTTTCTATTACTTGCAGCTGAAACATTGGGATGCACTGGGACTTAGTGACCTCAAGTATTATTACTACCCTGATTCAATTAACTTTAGCCTATATATATTAGGTACTTAGAACTGTACTATTTGTCAGCACATCCTTTATTTTTTCTTCTAATTTTAGAAGTTCTATTTTGAATAATTTTGGTTGGGACTCTTTATAGAGCCACGTGTCTCTCTGATGAGTGGTGCTTGGGAAAGCAAGTAATGAGGCCACAAATGGGCCACACCTAGAGCGATTCTCACAGGCTGGCACCCTGGGCACCTGTAGGCTGCCATTATCACAGATTCTAGGAAGTGAACCCAAACTTTGGAATGAGAATCATATACAATATTAAGACACTTATTTAAGAAAGACTTTGTAAACAACACATTTTGTATTATATATGTTACTCTTAGGGCCCTACCTGTTGCCCAACCTCATTAAACACTCGGGGTACCTGATCCATTTTGATGAAGAAACATCTTTCCCTCTGGGCCCGTTTAGTCCCTCTTTTCTCTTCATCCTCTGGGCTCTACATTGTGTTAACTTCCTTTTTTGCATGCTTTTCCACACCTTACACCAATCTGGGTTAGAATGGCTTTTCCCTTTCCTTGCGTGAGAGGATTTTCCACATCCTGGTTGACAGTGACTAGAAGGTCACCTTCAGAGATTTCACCAACCACATGGATGTCCCAGCAGCAGTTACTGGTCGTGGTGTGTTGTCACAGTAGGTTTTGTCAGTGGGCCTTTCTACATGATGTCTGTGGGCGAGCTTGTTCCCCTTGAGAGGGCTTCTCTCCATGTCAGGAAGAGGTGGAGGCCAGCTGTGGTCTGTGGGCTCTACCCAACTCCGACTCACATTGTGTGCATGTGGTGTCCATTAATCAGAGCAGCGTGGGCTTCTCTTCCTTCTTGGGAGAACATTTTTGCCATTTCCAAGGTCATCCCATAGGAATATACCTGTGTGTGTGTGTGTGTGAGAGAGAGAGAGAGAGAAAGAGAGACAGAGAGACAGAGACAGAGAGACAGAGACAGAATGAAATGAATATTTAACAGTCACCTCAGCTTCACCTCCTCTCTGGGTCTCGAAGCTTCTTCATCTTCACATGTGGTTTTTGTCTTACGGCTTTTGTAACAAATTACAACAAACTGAGTTTTAAAACAACAGAAATTTATTCTCTCACAGTTCTCAAGACTAGATGTCCAAAACTGAGGTGTCAGCAGGGCCTCACTCCCTCTGAGGCCTCCAGGGTTGGGTCCTTCCTTGCCTCTTCCAGCTGCTGGTGGCCCCAGCTGTTCTCTGGCTTCTGCCTGCCCCTCTCTGATCTCTGCCTCTGTCCCCACATGGCCTCCTCCCCTTTGTCTCTTCCCCTGTTCTTATAAGGATGCCAGTCATGTTGGATGGAGAGCCCCAACCTTCCGTGTAAAATATATATCATTTACTTTCATTGTCCATTTAACCCAAATGTTCAGAGAAGAAACTATTCAAATGACTCATGTGGTAACTGGCATGAAGCATATCAAATAAATGACTTCCCTCCCTTTTGTCCTTGGGGTATCAGGTAATTTTGTGACGAATGTAATAATAAATGGTGGGATTTCCAGATGGAGATTATAATTGTGTATGTACGTGTTTGTTTTACCTAAAAAGATGTCAACTTTTATCTACTGAGGCAGCTTTCCCATTTCATCCAACACCCCCCAGTGAACAGGTACACACTTTGACAAGATACTTTCAAAGGACACTGCTGTGCACAGGCAGGAATTTCTAAATTTGGTGAGGATTTATAGGTAATATCAATGCTTGGATACTCTTAACAGAACAGCCAGGGCAGCGCTCGTGATCTTGGCCGGAAAGGCACCTTAACAAAGTATACAAAAATATGAAACCTTGGTCCTTATATGGAAAACAGTATCAACCACAAAGTAGAGTTTTTTTTTTTTTTTTTTTTTTAAGTCTCTGCTGCCACAATTAAAGTAATTAGCCCCATTATAAAAATGGTAAAGCAGTGAAGAGGAATCAGGGCCAGAAGTTCCTTTCTCAGGAGTATCTACATAATCACACGATTAATTTGGATTTGGCTTGGAGGATCTGGATATATTTTTCAAGCCATTCCTTCACTTAGTTGAGGGAAGGATTAATAAAGCTATTTTAGAGTGATATTTCTGCATCATCTGTATTTCAACGTGTAGAGTGGTAGCAATCAAGGTAAGACTATTTTCCCAGACTCGAAAGTTAATTTTCCTTTATTCAGAGTCTACTTTGTAAATGAGAAACGGAATGAAAATCTCAGGTGGGACTGGCAGCTTTAACGTTCTGACATCGGTACGTGAGTTTAACAACATACTGATGACTTGTTATGAAAACGGTCTGTAGCTCCATTAGAGCTCAGACACTCAATTTGCTCATCGGTCCAATTTATCTGAATTCTGGGCATTTTACATTGATA